AGGCTCTTCCAAGGAAGAGAAAATACAATGTATTGTTATGGAGACACAAAGGAGAAACTGGAATAGTGGAATTAAATAGGAAAGGGGATGAAAGAGGAAAAAGGAGGGATTCTAGGAAGGAACAACTAAAATGAAAGGACATTTGAAAGCCATATGGAAACCAGCACACACATATAAAATACACACACATATGAAAGTAAACTAAATGGAATCACCAAATAACAGGGAAGACAATGCCTGTCTGCAGATCTTGTGCCATTTAGTAAAACCTCCAGTGCAAGTATTGGGTTACATCTTGATGGGTTGTTGACCAAAGAGCCCTAGGGAAACTTGCAAACATCAAGGGCTATTTCCAAAGCTTTGGTTACTCCCCACAACCTGTTATCAAGGTCCTATTGCTGAAGAAAACACTTAAACAAGTCATCAAAAACAGGTCGAGCTGCTACCTAACTAGAAGTTCTGCCCCTACTTACAAGCATTTAAGGTATTGGAAGTTACTTTGTGTGCTGCTAAAGAAGAAAAGAAACTTATCAACATCTCCTAGCTACAAATACTGGGACTTATAGGAGAGATTTGCCTGTAAGATATATTGGTGCCATTGTGGTAAAAATGTTGTGGGAGTAAACAAGCACTTTCTGACTAGATTTAAGGCCCGCTACATTAGACAGAACCCATACATGACACTGCTTTATCGGTCAAGAACCTGTGATTAGATAGAGCATGATCCAAAGGGAAAACCTACTATTATTATTCTGACAAAAGAAAATAGCAATAAAAAGATTCCTAATGACATACTGATATACTAATATTTGAGTGCCTCACTCAGACTTCATCAGAGAAGCTTCCTCTTGCAGTAGATTCTCAAACAGTGACCCATAACTGGACAATGTGCAAAGAATGAGGGACTTTGGAGCCCTCAGCCCTAAGTAAGATCTCTTCATCAAAGCCCTCTTGTCAAGACTCAGAGAGCCTGCAGAAAAGACTGTAAGAGCCAGGGATTGATGACTCCAAGAAAACAGAGTCTTCCAGACAGAACAGGGCTGACACACATATGAACTCAAGGCAACACACGCAAGGCCTACACCAACAGGTCCAAACCCAATGTGGTCTTTGCACCGAGAGGGGGAAGTTGACACAGGCTCCCATCCCTAACCAGTATCTGCAATTAATACCTGGTGGGAAAAAATCGTTTTCTCCAATGGTGGCTCACTGGGAATATAAGCCACACTTCATGGAATGCCCAATCCCCGGGAGTATACTGAAAACACACAGCTAACTCAATAGTATTTTGTAGATTTTTGTCTCATTTTGCTTCATTTGGGCTTTTTTTTTTTTTCCGTCTGCCTGCCAGGCCTTTTACCTGTTTGTTTTTATTCCTTTGTAGGTTTGTTTTTGTTTTTGTTTCAGGGGGTGTCTACTTTTTGCTGTTATTGTTGATTTTTTTTTTTTTTTTTTTTTTTTTTTTTTTTTTTTTTTTTTTTTTTTGGTTTAAAGATAGACAAAGAGCATAAAGTTGAGTGGATAGGGAAGTACAGAGAATCCAGGAGGAAATGAGGAAGGGGAAAATAAAGAAAAAAAAAAAGTAAATGTCTTAGGATAATCATACACCAAAGAGATAAAATGTGAAATTCAAGAAACTACATGAGATTTCTGACTTTCTGATCTCTCTGACCAGTAAGATTATATTTCCTGCTATTCCAAGTATTTAAGTAAAAATCTCAAATCAAGCACCGTCTGTGTGTGTGTGTGTGTGTGTGTGTGTGTGTGTGTGTGTGTGTGTGTGTGTGTTTGACTGATTCTTTAAAATTATTTGTTCAGCTCAGTTTGGTGGCACAATGCTGCAATTATGGCTACTTAGAAGGCATCATGAAAGAGCACCTAGAACAGTGGTTCTCAACCTGTGGGTCACAAACCCTTGGGGTCACATATCATGTATCCTGCATATCAAATATTTATATTGGGACTCATAACAGCAACAAAATTACAGTTATGAAGTAGCAACAAAATAATTTATGGTTGGGGGTCACCACAGCATGAGGAACTGTATTAGGAAGGGGAAGAACCTAGACTACAGAAGACTTGCCTGAGCAACTTAATGACAAACAAACAAACAAATAAAAAATTAAAGCCAGTGGAAATAGTTCGTCCCAGACCAAACAAAAAATGGCTTTACTGAGTCAACAGTGTGTAAATGTGAGAATAAAGCATGGGACCACATAAGTAGAAGCTTGTAAGTTGAAAATTATACGACTTCATTATTTCAGATTGAAACTTAAAACTGAAATCAAGATTATCTAAGCAAACAAGTTATTTATTTTAAAAATCAAAGATGTTATTAGCATAGTGCCCTGTGTGTGTGCATGTGTGTTTTATTCAACACCTAGTCAATAGTGGTTTTTAATTCTCACTCTCATTACTAAATTCTCTCTCAAGATCATGAGAAAAAAATTCAACTTCTAATTATTTCTACTTTGCACAAAGCATTTATTTTTGAGGTGAAATATGAAATACAATGAGATTAGCACATAATAAAAGATGTCGTATAAAAATAATCAGAATAAACAATTGATTTCATTTTCTTAAAATAGAGAGTGTGCATCGGAGGTCCCCGTGTATTTTTCTGAAACAAAAGCACATTTTGTCACCCTACAGCTTCCTAAGGAAGTGTCACTTAGTGACTGATATGTTTGGAAATAAAAAGAATGAAGGAACACACTGCCAACTTGGCAAGGATACTCCCTGTCACTTCAGCATCAGCTGAAGTTGTTTTATCTTCCAACATGTGTTCTTTTGTTGCCAATGAAATTATATCACAACGTATATAAGAGCTGAGGGTTCTGGTCCTTCATCTTCCACGACTCAAAATTAACTGACCGAGTGCTTCTGACCAGCAGATCAATCTGCTAAGAAGGTAGGTACCTAGAAATATGAAGCCCTTTAACTTGAGAATAAATTTTGCCTGGCTTTCAAAGATAGCATTTTTTAAAATATATTTATTTATTCACTTTACATCCTTATTGCAGACCCCCCCCCCTTCTCTCCTTCCAGTCTTCCCTTGCACACCCCTCCTCTCCTTCTTCTCAGAGAAAAGGGAAGGTCCCCTATGGGTACCAACCTGGCAGATTAAGTTGCTGCAGAACTAGGTGCATCCTCTCCCACTGAGGCCAGACAAGGCATCCCAGTTAGGGGAATGAGATCCAAAGGAGGCATCAGAATCAAAGAGGGTCCCAGCTCTAGTTGTTAAAAGATCCACACGAAGACCAAGCTGCACATCTAATACATGTGTCCAGGGGGCCCAGGGCCAGTCCATGCATGCTCCATGGTTGGTGGTTCAGTCTCTGTGAGCCCTCATGGGCCTAGGTTAGTTGACTCTGTAGTTCTTCTTGTGGAGTCTTTGACCCCTCCAGCTTCCTCAATTGTTTTGGTAACTCTTCCATAGCATTCCCCAATCTATGTCTAATGTTTGGCTGTGGGTCTCTGTATCTGTTTCCCTCAGCTGCTGGAGTAAGCCTCTCAGAGGACTTAAGCTAGGCTTCTGTCTACAAGCACAGCAGAGTAACATTAACAGTGTCAGGGATTGGTTCTCTCCCATGGCCTGGGTCTCAAATAAAACCAGTCTTTGGTTGCCCAACCCTCACTCTTTGTTCCATCTTTGTCCTTGCCCATCTTGTTAGCAGAATAGATTTTAGGTTGAAGGTTTTGTGGATTAGTTAGTGTCCTTATCCTTCCACTGGGAGTTCTTCCTGGCAGTAGGAGGTGGCCACTTCAGGCTCCATATCCCCCCCTGCTAGGAATCTCAGCTAGGGTGACCTCACAGACTGCCAAGGGGCCTCCCATCCCACATCTCTGGCAAATTCCAGAGATGACCTCCACCTCTGATTTCCCTTCTGGAGATAGAATTTTAATGGGCTGTTTATAAGCAAATTACTGTAAGATTAAGTGTCTACAAGTAATTATAAAATGTTTTCTAAAACTGAAAACTTTATCAAGTAACATAAAAGTATTCATGTTGATCACTTAGGATGCTGAGTCCACCAAAGTCCACAATTCCTTTTTCTCCTTCCTGTCCTTTAAGGGTCCTTAACATTCATAATGACAACCTACTCTCAGATGTACTCTGAAAGAGAATTATTCTAAATTATATATTTACCACTAATTTTAATTGTTTTTAAGCTTCATATGAATTATATCTTAGTAAAAACCAATAAGTTACATTTGCTCATAATATATAGTGAAAAACTGTTGCTAATATTCTTTCAAGGTTTGCATTGTTTAGCTGCTACATTTAAGCAATCAACAAAGTTGACTGTAGGAGCTGACAGGCCAATACCTGCAGTGGGATGAAAGAAGGATTCATGCAATCTGGCTGCAGAAATTTGTCACAAGATCTGAGACAACTAGAAAAGAAAATAGACCTAAATTAATTCTGTTTTCTTCTGTCCTAATTATTGATGGAACACAGCTGGATGTTTGAAAGCAGATTTGAGAACATTCATTGTGGACTGAAATGACCTAGTATAATGTTAACTCTAGTCTATATATCAAGTTATGCTTTGATCTTTGTGTCTAATGGGAAGACGTCTTCCTCATTTATCATGTGTCACGAGAAATTAAGTATGATCAACTTAAAATGAAAATATCTCAACAATGTGCAAACAAAAAAAATGCCCATTTCAAAATGATTATTGTTAATCCAAAAGCTTGACTTTTAAAATCTTCTGTTGCTCAGACTCTTTAAAGACAATTATGTGGCATTTTATCTGCAACAGCTCACAAGTTAAAAAAGGAAAACTAGTCCAATAGTTTACATCAAGTTTTATGAGGTGACCATACTACCCCACTAATACTGAATGCAAGATAAGGTTTATAAAATTACTTTAAGATACAATGTACTACATATATACAGTGTATTGGGACATGCTCCAAATAATGCAATTTCTTTTTTTTTTTTTTTAAGATGTTAACCAGCCATTATGCTTACTTTTCAGGGGCTACCAAAGATGAAACCACTGTATTTGATCTTCAGCCTTTGGGTTCTAGCAGGATGTTTCCTGGCAAGTATCAACTATCCCTACCACATACCTTCATATTCTCTTGTGAACTTTTATGTAGGACTTTTTAGCATTATTTATCTGTATTTCCTAATACATAGAAGTTGCGAGTTATTGCTGGAACAGCAATCTAGTTCTTTAATTTCTACTTTGAAATTCTGCTTTAATGTAATAGCCACAGACATTGGAATAAACTGTTAAGAAAATGATAGATATACCCAAGAAAGTTTACTACTGCCTCATATGCAGATCAATATCAGGATGGGCAAAGGATAACAATGTTCAGCTAATTTTTTAGTTTCATCAAGAATAAAATTAATGTGAGTTATTTTCAACACATTATCCCTAGGTAGTTAAAAATAAAATTCTGGACAAAATTTGCATGCACAGTGCTCAGCCTTAGAAATGGAACCTCTTATATTTAATGTCTTCCATGATTCAGTGAACAAATAAAGGTAGACAGAGCACCAGTGCCACAGATGTGTCTTGAAATAATACATTTCACCGATAATATAAATAAGAGTTATACTGGCATGTTGGAGGCAAGAGCCAAACAGAAATGAAAGGGGACATGAGGAGTGAATATAGCAAACATGACTGGCATTCCCTGTGGAGTCACAAGAAAGGAAAGAGGAAAGAGTCAAAGCCAGCAGCATAAAGATACTAGAGAGAAAAAAAAGTTATAATGATACAAATAAGAAGAGATGAGAGCTGTTGATAACAGGATAGACCAAGGGGCAGGTGCAAAGCTGTGGGAGGGTATTTGGTGAACTGACATAGGTGCGGTCAATTCCTAAATGATATGTGCTAGTAAAACGAAGTGGCATACAGTTAAAGTGAGTAAAAGAAAAGAAAAAACAAAAACAAAAAAAAAAACATCCTTAGGAAAACAATGGAGAAGTTGTTCTCTGAAACCATCAGTGACTTTGCAGGCTGCATGGCCTAGACTGGGGAGTTCACTTCTACCTGCTGCAACCTCTTGGTGAAGTAATAGGAGAACCATCTGCAGGTAAACATGGGGCTCAGGATGAGGTAGAAAACTGAGAAAAGGAAAGTTGGTGTCAACATGGAATGTTATAAGCCTCTACAAAATTGGAGAGGGCTGACCAAAGGAACTTGAGAGGATTACAAAGCAGTGCTGAAGGCCTTAAAGGTCTAAACATATAGAGCCTATGGCATCTTCTACTATTGTTCATGAAGTTGAACTTGAGGGGACAGGTTTTCAGCGTAAGCCTAAAATTTGGAATTGAGGAAGGCAATGGGTCAGATGAACAAATTAAAGAAAGAAGTCAACGAATAAGTGAATGAATCTATGTCCCATCAGACCACCAGCCCCAGGCTAGCTTGACTTAGGATTTGCAGCAAAGGACTAAGAGCACATACTTTCCCTCTGGTTGACATGGCCCCTTGTGTTTTATGTCATCCAACTTCATTGCAAAGACTGCCCTGTCATGAAGCAATTCTTAACCTTTCATCTCTCTAAAACTAAGCACTCCAACTGCCTGATGCATTTGATTCCTGCAACACGTCTCAGCCATTTTTTTTATTTTTATTTTTAGTCTTGTTCCTTGGTAAAATCACTAAACTAGGTATTAGCATAGCAAGCAAAGCACTTAGAGTTCAGTGAGTACTGTCCCAAGCTTGGCAAGCACTGCCTAGACATCTGGGCAATATTAAATAGCTCACGGCCATTGAGGTTATGAAAAGGGCTCAGGCATGATGAACAATATGGCACAACAAATCCAAAGACTCCAGGGTGTGGAAACATGTATGACTGCCATTTTCCCAAGGTGGAAAGAGTTTTATTTTCTCATGCAGTCAGTACCTGGCAGAGGCAGAATTCCAACCACAGCCTTTACACTACAGAGACCACGATTCTCCCTTTAGCCTATACTTGCACCACCTTGTACTGTATTTACTCAGGCTCCACAGTGACATTAAACATCTGAACTTCCCACCGCTGCCACGCTAACTTATTCCTAGAAGCACAAACACTGTAACATGTTTTGAAATTTCTTGGAATTAAAACCTAGAAGAATCCTAAACTCTAGAGTGATGCAGACATCTCCCAATCCTGTAGGGCAACAACGTAGATTCAGGACTGATTTCAGTGACCATGTCTACTAAAAGAGAAGCTTAAGATTTTGTTCATGATATTTTCCTTCTATTCAGTACCATCTAACTTTTCATTTAGAACCTAAATGGGCAGAACAAAAGAGAAACACTTTCTTTGATTGACATTGAGGATTTGTGACTCAGAAGCATGTAACAGTTTTCTGTTGCTACATAATAAATTATCACAATTAGGACTTTAAGACACATGTTTATTATAGCATGGTCTACACTTGGCTTAATTGTGTTCTTTTCTCAATTACCTCACAAGCAAGAAAGAGCAGCCTGAATGAATGACCATTCTCATCTCAAGGTTATTCTTTCTACAGTTCCCAGAATCACATACCTGTATTGCAGTGTTGAATGGCCCTGACTTTATTAATACTTAATTAACATAAAGTAACAGGTTTCAGTTGGGATTTTGTTTTTATTGAAGGGGTTTTCTTTTTGTAGTCTTGGCTGTCCCTGACTCACTTTGTAAACCCAGCTGGCCTTGAATTCATAGAGATCCGCCTGCCTCTGTCTCTGCCTCCCTGAGTGCTAGGATTACAGACATGCACCACCATGCCTGGCTTCAGTGTGAAATTTTTATACTTCATTTGCACGGCTCTTCCTTTACTCCATACTAGCCTCCCCACACCCAGATCCCTATTTGCCTTTTCTACACTGGACTCTTTTGTAGTCAGTATCATTCCTTCTTTTTTGTTCTATTTTATTCTCAACATTCTCCATTAACGTTTATTTTCCAAATTTATTAAATAAAATATAATTTCCAAAACACAGATAGAACTAGAAAATGTAGTAAGTACAGTAACCCATCCTCAGAAAACAAATACCATGTATAATCTCTCCCATCCTAGAGGGTAACGCATCAACATGTGTATCAAGGTCAGGATACGTACAAGTAAAGACTGGGAACTAGTGAGGGCCTTGAGCTGAGTCCCTGGCCATGAGCCAACCCTGGTCATGAGCCAGATGCCACTCTGATCTAATAATAGCCCAGTCCAGTACAGAGACGCTTGTTATAAGTCAATAGACCATGTGCTGCAACATGAAAGCTCTAAATTCTTCTCACTGTGAAATTTGCTTTAAAAGAACATATCTTATAAAGCCAGACCAGCAAATATCTTGGGATAATAAGACTTTTAGGAGCCATCTTAAAATTCAGCCTAGACCAGAAAGAGTATGTGCTTCTTGCCTTTGATATACCTAATTTAAACTTGTTTGTTTTCATTCTCCCACAGTTCAGTGAGTGTCACAGAGCCCACAGAAGACCAAACCATGGAAGACCACCTCCTCCTCCTCACCCTCCCTTTTTTCCACCACACCGTCCACCCCCTTGTATACCTGTATTTCCACCTCCACATCCCAGACCTCCAAGTAACATTACCACTTCACCTCCTCCCCCAGTACCAACAAATACACCAGCTGCCAGTGTCTCCGTAACTACTGCTACTGTCTCAAATTCCACTGATGCTTTTCAGAACCTTTTGGAAGCAATAAGATCTTTATTGCAGTCAGGATGAAATACTCCACAGCACTGGAAATTAGAGGAGAAATAACCTTTAAAAGGCTTAAGAAACAACATTTTCCCAAGCATTACACAAAATGAAAATAAAAACGTGAGCAGCATTATAAAGGATCTACTGTTTTCATCATAGTAACTACCATGACATCTACTGTGTTAATAGAATAAAATGAATCCTTCCAGAAACCTAACCTGGTACCATAAGGCAAAATGGTCATTAGGGGAAACACAAACCACAGGTTGTAATGTACAATCATGAAAACAGATGAATAGATAGTAAGATGTCCTCTTGAGTGTCAGACATCAAAAAATTACAAATCACAGAACATGTTAGTATATGTTAAAAGTATTCCTCCACACAGCATGTTCCTGATTCTTTGTGGGAAAGGTGTCATCATTATATTTGATCTCATGAGGATTCTGAATCAATGGATTCAACCAAACATGTGTGGAAAATACTCAAAAAATATATAGAATGTATGCTGAGCATATGTTTCCAGCCGTGATACCATTAATAACTCAAACCAAGTATATTACACAGCGTTCATATTATCATGAGCATTATAACCAATCCAGAGTTTATTTAACATGTGCAGGAAGACTACACAAGTTAAATGCAAATTGCACATCATTTTAAATGTAATATTTGAACATTCCCAAATTATACTATTACAATGGCCTTAGAATGACACCCCCAAAGTTTCGAAGGGTTATAAGTAAACTTTCAATTCTGAAGAAGCATCTTCCAAGAAAATCGATGAGATAGGGGACTATATTGGGATATTGTTGATTTTTGTTGTGTTCTGTTTGTATTCTGTCTCTGAAGCTTACTCCCATTTCTGAAGAGAAATTTAAATCATCTAAATCCACACATCATGAAAATCTATATGCTATGGGAAGCAAGTGAACCAGAAAGTGTCTGAGAACTCTAAAGCCAAAAACTACTTAGCCTCAGCCACTAACTGCTTCCTTTTCTCATGCAAACATGAATCCAGTCCTTCACTCTTAGACTCACATCTTAGATCCCTTTCCAGTCCTCCATTTCTCTTTTGCCTTCTTTCCTCCCCAACCACTCACGCAACCAACTCTGGAAACCATCCAGACCTATACAACCCTCTGAAAACCTGGTAGACACTTTCCGTTCCTCCAACTATAGCTGCCATAACAACTGCTTCCATTTTTTCTGTCATCAAATGTACAGATGCCAACTCCATCACTCCTCCTAGCAACCTTCAGCCTGAGGCATCAATACCACTGTGGCAGATGAGACTCTCTCTGCTACTAAAGATGACAACACCATCTGAGGCAGAAGACAATACCCCATATGCTTCAGATAACATCACCCCAACCTCTGCAGACAATAGTACTCCATCTGTTACAACTGCAACACATATTATCTAACCAACTGCTACTGGTGAGAGCATTCCAAGGAATACAGATTTTATCACTCCTGCTGTCAATGGCAGCACTGCAACCTGGCTTCCCAACTGTCTAAGCTGGTCAACATTCCAAAGTACAAGTAGACAAGACAAACCATGGTTTAAAAGAAAACAAATTTCAAAATATTGTCTAACTAGGTGTACGCATGCATGGATGGGTAGATGTGTGTAAGAGGTCTGTGTATGTAGGCATGTCTGAATGTGTGCTTGTGTCATAAGAGTTTCCTTGGTACAATCAACGAGAAAAATAACAGACAGTTCATATAAATATTATCTATTTAGAAGCTATTACTATCCTTTGTATCTGATCAATTCTAGTCTTTAAAATCCATGGCCACTTTTTCTGCATTAATTGTTGTTATGTACATAATTGTATGTGCACAAATAATTAAGTATTATATAAAAATTAACTTTTTATATTTATATAACAATTACATTGAATATAAAATATAACTATAAAAATCATTTGTTGTTTCAGGATGAATAGAATGTTCATTCCACGGCAACCCAATGATACATTACTCCATAGAAATTGAAATCTTTTACAGAATCATGCTATGTGACTATAAAATTATATATATATATTTCAAAATTTTGCTAGACCACTTTTTAATAATAACTTTTTATTTTATTCAGTTATAATCACCTCATTTTCACCCTTTCTTTGACCCCTGCCAAAGCCTCCCATATGCCCTTCCTCCCTATGAAATTTGTGGCTTTTGTTCTCATTAGCTGTTGTTAAACATATTCCTAAATATAAATACAACCTCCTCAGTCTGTGTAATGTTACTTGAATTCATGTGATCTCCAGGCTGACAATTTAGGGTTGGTTAACCAGTTGAGAGGTTTTCCCTAGACAAAACTCTTTGCCCACTCTCAGCAGTCCTTTGTTGTCTGTAGTTCTCTGTCTAGGATCGAGGCTTCATGAGCTTTCCCTGTTCCATGTTAACACAACTATTGATGTCATCTTTTCCCAGGTCTTGTTTAGACAGCCTTGTTGATGAAGCTTCATGATTATACCTTCTATGATATTTCTAAGAGACCCAATCTCATAAAAAATGTCCTGTTCCTCTGGCTCTTACATTATATTTTTCACTGTTTTTACAATGATCCCTGAGTCTTATATCTAGGAGCTGTGCTGCATGTTTCAAATGGGACTGAGCAACACACAATCTCTTGTTATCTTCATTTTGATCCATTTTGTTTTCTTCAATGTGCTCCATCAGCTGAAAGGAGAAATTTCTTTGAGGAGGGGTGAGAACTGCACTTATCTGTGTGTAGAAAAATAAATATTAACCATGTAGTTGGGGATTACTGTGGTTTACTAAAGTGGTGGTTGTAGGTTCTCCTCTAAGATCCCAACCTCTCTAGCTTTGGGTAGTTGACTAGATTTCCAGTCCCAGGTATGATTGCCCTCTTGTGAGTGGGCCTTAAATCCAAGTAGACAGCTCTTGGTTACCAAGGTATGCTTAGCACTATTGTGTCCTTAGAGTTACAATGGCTTGCTAATCATTGTTGTGGTTCATAGGCATCATAGCTGGGTAAGACTGTTGGTTTCTCCCTTCCCTTGGAAGCTTGCATGTCACTCTTGGGTAGTATAAAAGCTATCCCCAAGGAGGAAGCCCTCAGGTAACATCATTTTTAAAACTTAACATAGAATAAGTACTGTGAGAATAAATATGCTGTTATGCAGAGGATAAAGATAATATTCTTTCTAATGTCTGGGGACAGCCCTGGCTATGGCCAGGTCCCACAGAGGAGATAAGAAGTCACTCAGGGAAGAGTAAGTCAGGCACAGGGATTGGGTATTCTTGCATCCTGACTGAATGACAATAAGAGTGCTCCTTTTTATATATAATTTATTCATTTTATATCCAGATTATAGCCCCCTCCCTCAATTCCTTGTGTTCTAACCCTCCCTTCCTCTTCCCTTCTTTATTCCTCCCCTGGTCCACAGAAAGGGGGAGCCCTTCTGACCTAGCATCTGACCCTTGCTTATCAAGTCTCATCAGTACTGCCTGTATCCTCTTTCTCTGTAGCCTGGCAAGGCTTGATACCCCAGGGGGAAGGGATCAAAGAACAGGCTCCAGAGTCCATGTCAGAGACAATCCCTGCTCCCCTTACTAGGGAACATCCATGAAGACTGAACTATCTATCAGCTACATCTGAACAGGAAGTCTAGGTCCTCTCCATGCATGGTCTTTGCTTGGTGCATCAGTCTTTGCAGGAGCACCTGGGCCCAGATTTGTGAACTTTTCAGGCAAATAGATGGAACTAGAAAAGATCATCCTGAGTGAGGCAACCCAGAACCAGAAAGACATGCATGGTATATACTCACTTATAAGTGGATATTAGCCATATAATACAGAATAAGCATACTAAAATCTACAGACCTAAAGAAGTTAAATAACAAAGAGGTCCCTAGGGCAGATGCTTAATTCTCATTCAGAGGGGCAAATAGAAAAGATACCAAAAGGTGTTGAAGAGAGGTATGTTAGTATAATGTTCTTTTGAAATATATACACCTTACCCTTGTTCATTCAAATGCTGATTTCTCTCCCCACTCTCTGGTTTCAATCCAGACATTGCATTGTGATACTTATTCTAAGCATCACCTGTCTCAACTTTGTGTAAACATGTCTAAATAAAACAACCAGCCACAATGTTGAGCAATGGAGAGGAAGGAGTAGGCAGGAGAGGGGAGGAGCCAGAGGACAGGAAAGAGTGGGAGGTAGAGGAGGTGGCAGAGGCTGAGAGAGCAGAGGCAGGAGAAGAGGTCTTGGAATGACATGGAGAATGAACCGGACCTAAGATTTCACAAAAAAAAAACAAGTATAATGGGTGAATCTAAATGTTAAGAAACTATGAGGGCTTGGAGGTTTAGGATGGAGTAACTATTGCCAAGCATTGTGTTCTAGGTTAACTAAATAAATCGTAGTTTCTGTTTGGTGATTTGGTTATACAGCTCTTTAGCATTAACAGCAGCTTTACTAAAAGGTATAACAACAGTAAATATTAATCACCACCTACAACAGAGGTAAAAGGACTGGAGCCTGCCATAGTTGGCCTCTGAAAAACTCCACCCAGCAAGGGGATCTAAGCAGATGCTGAGACTCACAGCCAAACTTTGGGCAGAGCACAGAGTGTCTTATGGAAGAGTGGAGGCATAGAAAGACCCAGAAGGGACAGGAGCTCCACAAGGAGACCAACAAAGTACTTCTTTATTTATACAGAACTCAATAGACATGAATAGATGCATGTTGTTCCAAAACATATATCATATCATTTTGTCACTGGGCAGGTGTTTTAACTTTCTCTTGGTCATAAGTTTAGTGATCATTGATAAACCATGAAGAAACAGAATCATCATCAACCCCACAACCCAACTTTTAAAAATCTTGTGATTTCAAAGGCATTAGACAGAAAGAAAATCTCCAAGCCAGCCTGTACAGATTATCATGTCCGAAGCAGTGTATTATCAACTTTTAATGATCAGAGTGCTAATTGTCATTGGGCCCAAGAAAAAAACCTTCAGGCCAAGGCTACTATTATTTAATTTAATTTCTGGCATAATACACTATTTAAATTTTAAATATTTGTAGAATTTATTTATATTTCTAAACTTGGTATTCTTTTG